AGAGAAGGCAGAGCCAGGCTTTTAGCCCCACCCCCACCATGACTCCACTGACCCTCTATTTCCTCATGGGCATATTAAGAACTTTGGAGGGAGAGGTGGGGCGGGGCGGTGAGACAAACAAGATAGTGTACCTGGATGGTCCTTATAGGCAGTACAAGGGGAAGGAGCATGATTTGGGGTATGGGGTGCACAGCCCAACACTCTCATACACAGTCATTGTCACCCACAGGCACACACGCTGTCACCCACTGTTACCCCTGGTGCCACTCTAGTCCATACAATGCCCTTATGCAAATTAGAACAGAGTGCCCCTTACTTCCATCTGTTGGGAAATTAATGGAAAACACTGGCTTGGCAGAACAAGACATTTTGCTGCCATCAGGCAGGTCAACACTCTCATACATTGTCACCCGCAGGCACACACACTGTCACCCACTGTTAACCCTAGTGCCACTCTAGTCCATACAATGCCATTATGCAAATTAGCACAGAGTGCCCCTTACTTCCATCTGTTGGCAGAACAAGACATTTTGCTGCCATCAGGCAGGAATCTGGTGTAATGCGACACCTGAGTTGTACACATTACTGTCTAAATGGTATGTGCCAGCCCTGTGACTCACACACAGTCCCACACAGGCTCACATACTGTCGCCCACAGGTTTTATGACCATAAAATCCCTGGTCATGTAGGGACACCATGCGACCCAGGTTTTGCCTGTTATCTTGGCATAATTATTTAAGCCTGCCCTTTACTCTCAAAAGTGTCTCTGGATGATAACTTCCTTTTGTCCATAGATAGATAACACACTATTCCCCACATGGGCACACATACACTGTCACTCATTTGCTCACACACTTGTTCACATTTGATGTGCCCCCACCTATGTACAAGTGCGTGTGTACACACACATCTACACACATGGATAAACTGATACATTCACCCCCATTGTATGCATATCCATGTACACCCTGTGAAATGCAGCATTACCTACAGTCACACACACCTCAAGATGCACACAGCCACAACTACGGAGTGACCCTCGAGGTCTCATATGGTTACACAAACGCATGCCTGCACACCATATGTGTGACAATGCCACCGTCACACATACATAGAGTTGTACATACCTTCATGCAGACAAGTGACAACTGTGCTGTGCGCAGGTAGATGGGAATAGGCTGTGGTACCCCTCCATCTGGGTGCTGGTGGAGTGACATGCTGTATCCCTCCCTGCCCTCCTGGCTCTGGCAGGTAGAGCTCTCCTGGAACAGCTTTAATAAGGACGACATCTTCCTGCTGGACCTGGGCAAGGTGATGATCCAGTGGAATGGGCCCACGAGCAGCATTTCCAAGAAGGCACGGGTCAGTGTCTGCCCTGGGAAATTAGGGGTGCTGGGCTCAGGGAGAAGGGTG